CAAAGCAGAACCACTGGAACCCATCTGTTTGCCAAATCCAATGCCCTGCCCCACCCCTTACCCCCAAGATGGGTTGGCCACAATAGGCAATACCCACCCCCACCCCCCTTTTCCGGGGTGGACAGCTGTGAAGCCTACGGCACCATTTTGTTCTTTGCTTCTTTCTGTGGTCCCTGGCTGCCATCCCATTTTGGATGGCACAGGCCAGCAGGGGGTGCTAGCACCTAAATGAAAAGACCATGAGCTCTCACTGGAGTTCTAAGAAGCCTGCATCTGAGCAAGCAAGACTGCTGACACAATCCTCCTAGAAAAAAGCACTGGAGACAGCAGTCCTCAAGGGAGAATATCACAGAGCTGACTGTACTACCCAACATTCAGGAAAAAAAAAAAAAAAAAAAAGGGCCATGAGCTTCCAGAGCTTCCAAGGTCTGAGGAGTTTCTCCATAAGGGCCATCTCAAAATGAAGGCCCTGGCCACCAACCCTGCAACGTGGGACACCAACTGGCCTGAGACCTGTCTCAGCCACAGTCTGCTGGCCAGATGCTCTTGGGTAAAGGACTTCCATTCCCTTGGCTGCAGTTCCCATAGCCATACAGTAAAATGAAGTAACACAGAAGACTTCTAGCAGTCCCTGGCACATAACTCTAGGTTGAATTTGCATTCTTTATCCAGGGTTGGTTAATGATTCCTGTAGAACTAGAATTCTTTTTTCCCCCTAACTCAGCAGTCTCTCTTTTTTCCTCCAGAATTTTCTGTCTTTACCAAGTCATCCTTATCTGTACTTCAGAACATTCTAAAACACTCTAGCAAGCCCTCAGCCTGGTTACAAAATACCCCAGGGTGCTTTACTTAAAAGGTACACTTAGGCATGGACTGCAATGGCTCCTTTCATTTGAAAACTGCGTGTGCCCAGTGTAAATTCAAGAACACATGGTGCCTTTGCTTGTGTATTTCCTCTGTCCTCGCATCTAAAAATCAACCATTCACTGAATGTTTACTTACTGTCCATATATGTTATACAAGGCCTGATGCTGGGTGGAGAGAGAGATAAATAAGACACAATCACATCACTGGAGGCCCCTCCAGTGTAGACAGAAATGTGCCTCTCTACATATAGAGATCTGCTCTCAGGATTCTAATCTGGTTTCCATGAACCTAGCAGGTACCATCCTGTCGACAAATTATCTCATTTCACAGACTAACCTCCAAGCCCAGGCACAGACAGGAAAGGATCAGCACTGAAGCCTGGTTATGGCTAAGTTTCTCCTTTATCCTAAGCAGGTGGAGGGCCCTAAAAGATGTTCTTTTGCACAGGCTACAAGATGCCTGCTAAATGTAGGTCACTGTGGCTGAAAATGCATTTTTCACCCTTATTCTTGCAGACAGGTAGCTTTTCAGTGAGTTTTGACCATGGCCTGAGGTTTAGCAACACCAGCCTAGGCAACATGGGCTGTTTGGTGACCTGACAGATCTCAGGACCACTGTCACAACCAATACCCCTGGGACTTGAAGACAAATGCACACAGTGTGTCTTCCAAGTCCTTCCTCTCCTTGACCATTAAATCATATGCAAACAGACTAGGAGGCAAAACACAACTAATTCACATGGTCATTCTTTCCCCTTCCTTCTTCACCTGATACATAAGATTTTGTGGTAAAACATAGGCTTTACAAGAATACACAACAGAAAGAACTAGGGAACTCAGATCCAAAACCATCTAAATGAGGGTTTTCTTTTTTTTTCTTCTTCTAATGTAAAGCAGTTCCAAGAAAAGTGAAGTCACAGCCTAGGGTGCTTATTTTCAGTTCTTAGAAAAGAGCCAATTTCAAAAGGGAAGCAGCACAGCCCAAGCACACAGCCTGCCCTTGTCTGGCGAGGGGTGCTTGGTGATAAACCGACTTTGATTTGGCACCAGAACACTAAAACCCCTACCCGAGACGCGTTTTCATTTGGTGATGTCAATGAGGAAACGCTAGCTGAAGCAGTGAGAGTTATTAATATTCAGGGAAACCACAAGAGCTCAGCTAACATGCTGAGGTGGCACACTTCCAAAGAAGCCGCTGGGAGCCACTGGCAATCTGTGGGGACTGTCAGCAAAACACAGGGCACCGTCCTTTTCCCACCTCCCACACTCCTGAGTTCATTCACTGCTCAGGAAGCAATACCAGCCCAATTAGAACTTCAACCGGACATTACATACCAGAAGTTAGGTGAGGACCAATGGGTAGAATATGGTGCAGGAGATTCTCAGTGTATGGTCTTAAGAGGCCTACCACATACCCAGTTCAAGGGCTACTATTGGGAATTCCATAATTTTGGAATAAAGCTTTAACCTAAGAATCCTCTAACAGAGATCCTATGGACTCCATCAAGTGTCAGTGTAATCAAAGCAATTGATCGACTGCCCCAGCCAGGAGGAGCCTAAGGAGACATGAGGAGTGAATGTAATGGGGTATCCTGGGTGGGATTCTGGAATAGGAAAAGAAAATTTGGGGGAAAAAACTAAGGAAATCTAAATGTATAGACTTTTCTTAATAATAACATCTCAATATTGGTTAATTTTAACAAATGTGCCATATTAATATAAGATGTTAATAATTACAAAGGGAACCGGATGTGGTATATGGGAACTCTTTGTACTGTCTTTATAATTTTTTTTTTGTAGAAATAAAACTGTTCTAAATAAATATTTGTTTAAAGGCAACTGATAGATATAAGTAAGAACTTCCTACTCCTTCCAACAACAATCATTTGGTGGCCACCATGTGTCAGGCACATATGAAAGTGATTTAAATGCATCTTCATTTATTCCTCACATCAGTGCTATGAGCTGGGTATAATCTGCACCTTAGAGATGAGGAAATTAAAGCACAGAGAGGTTTGGTAACTTCCTTACAGTCTCACAGCAAGTTTAACAGATGAAGAGCTCATATTCAGGTCTGTAAGGCTGCAAAATTCCAGCAACAGCTCATCAACATGGCCTGGCTCAGTGGATTGAGTACCAGTCTGCAAACCAAAGGGTCGCTGGTTTGATTGCCAGTCAGGGCACACTCCTGCGTTGCAGGCCAGGTCCCCAGTGCGGGGCGTGTGAGGCAACTGCACACATTGATGTTTCTCTTCCTTTTTCTCCCTACCTAAAAATACATGAATAAATAAATAAAACCATGGCCTGAAAATCCCCAAACTTTGAACATAAACCTATTCAAAACAAGCTTCAAGAGGTCAACAAACCCACATCAGTAATAAAAACAATGCATTATTTCCAATTGGCCCACCTTTAAAAGAAAATGCTATAGTTTAAAAACAGCGAATCCGAAACACTAAAAATACCAAATACTGGTGAGGATGTAGAACAGAAACTCACTTACTGCAGATGAGAAAGCAAAATGGTACTTTAGAAGATAGTGCTATAGACTGGATATGTGTTCCCCCGAATTCCCATGTTGAGATGTGGGGTCTCTGGGAGGCATTAGATCATGAGGGCAGAGACCTCATGAATGGGATTAGTGCCCTTGCAAGAGATCCCAGAGAGCTCCCTTCTCTCTTCTGCCATGTGAGGACACAGAGTACAGCAATCTATGAACCAGGAGGCAGCACCTTGACTCTGCCAGCACATTGATCTTGGACTTCCCAGCCTCCATAGCTGTGGAAAAATAAATTTCAATTGTTTTCTTTAAAGATTTTATTTATTTACTTTTAGAGAAAGTGGAAGGGGGGGAGAAAGTGATGGAGAGACATGAGTATGTGGTTGCCTCTCTCATGTCCCCAGCTGGGGACCTGGCCCGCAACCCAGGCATGTGCCAGCTGGAAATTGAATATGTAACCCTTTGGTTCGCAGGCTGGCGCTCAATCCACTGAGCAATACCAGACAGGGCTCAATTGGTTTTAAGTCCCCCAGTCTATGGTGTTTGTCATAGCATCCCAAATGAACTGAGACAGACGGCCTGCCAGTTTCTTACAAGGTTAAACACAGGCTTACCACATGATCACCAGGTGTGCTCCTAGGCATTTACCCCAGTAAACTGAAAACATGCCCACAGCCCTGATTAGTGTGGTCCAATTGGCTGGGAGTCATCCCACAAAGCGAAAGTTGCCAGTTCGATTCCTGGTCAGGGCACATACCTGAGTGCAAGTTTGGTCCCCAGTCCGGTTGCATGAGAGACAGGCAATTGATATTTCTTTCTTTTTCTCCATCCCTTCCCCTCTCTCTAAAAATTTCTATTAATATTTGCCAAAAACTGGAATCAAATTGATGCCTTTCAGAGGTGAATGGATAAACAAAGCACAGTGCATCCATACAATGGAGTATTATTAAGCAAAAAAAGAAATCAGTATCAAGTTGCAAAAAGACATGGAGAAATGTTAAATGCATATCACTAAGTGAAAGAAGCCAGTCTGAAAAAAAACTACATCCTGTATGATTCCAACTATGTGATATTCTGGAAAAGGCAAAACTATGGAGATAGTAGAAAAAACTCAGTGGTTGCGAGGTATCAAGGGGTGGGAGAGATGAATAGGTGGAGCACTTAGGACTTTTGGGGCAGTGGAACTATGTGGTGCGATACTATAATGGTAGATAAATGTAAAACTCACAGAACTGTTCAGCACAAAGAGTGACCCCAAACTTTAGTTAATAATAATGTATCAGTGTTGGCTCATCAATTATAACAAGTGTATCACCAACACAAGATGTTAATAATAGGAGAAACTGAGGAAAGGGGTATATGGGAACTATATACTTTTTGTTCTTTTTTCCTGTAAATCTAAAGATGCTCTTTAAAAAGTCTATTTAGCCCTGGCTGGCATAGCTCAGTGGATTGAACATGGGCTGTGAACCAAAGCATCACAGTTTCGATTCCCAGTCAGGGCACATGCCTGGGGGGCCACGGCCCCCAGCAACCGCACATTGATGTTTCTCTCTTTCTCCCTCCCTTCCCTCTCTAAAATAAATAAGTAAAATCTTAAAAAAAAAAAAAGAAACTTCATTAAAAAAAGTCTATTTAAAAACATACAGCATATAAAACAATTTATTAGTGGTAGATGATTAATAATGTAGCAAAACTCTACAGCAATGGTGGAACAAAACCTGGCTCCTTTGACATTTACAATCTAAGAAGAAAAGAGGGCTGGGTTAGAAGCAGAGAGCAGAAACCCAGTGTTCAATACAATCACAACAAAAGGTCATTCCGTACCAAAAGTGTAAGAACCAGGAGGATGCTCCCATGCAGTGTCTCATCAAAAGTTAAGAGGCAGAAGTTAGCAGTTGCCTGAGAGTTGTTCTCAATCAACCTTTAGTTTCAACAAGAAATCTTGAAAGCATTTCAGCATCTCCTACCATCATCCACATCTAAGGGAAGTGGACAGTAAGGCTGAGTGGTGTTCAGAAGAGAGCTATGTCTTGGAGAGGCTGCTGAACCATTTTACTTGCAAACTGGATGTGGAAGTTGTTGATGGAGAAGACACGGGCCCATGATGTCCTTCTTCTTTCACACAGTCTATTTTCCTGCCCATCCATAACCACACCTGACTAAGATTCGCTTTAATCACCACGGGCAAAGACTGAGATCCCAAGTCTGCAACATAAAATAGGGTTGCAGCGGTGACAGAAAAAGTATCATCACTAGTAAAACTTGAAAAATGCAACGTGAGATTTCTATGTGCTTTAGAGAGAATTAACACACATAAACCAAAGCAGAGAGAGAGAATGAACACGACATCTGCTTTTCATCAGCAAACAGCCGTCAGAGCACAGGGGCAGCAGGGGCTGAGTGAGCCGGAGTGTGTTTCCCAGCATTTAGAAATCCTACATCTGGACTCCTTGGTGAGCCAAAGCACAGCTCTCTGAGAGATTTTTGAGACATACATATTGAACAATGTCCATGAAATCCACATGGTATAAGAACCTAAGTCTTTTCAGAATTGCAGTTGTTTTTAATGACACCTCCAACATCTCCTAAGGAACATTCCTGTGTAAATCTTCTACTTCCAGTGCCCACATGCTTTCATGGACAGGATTATCAGAAAGGTCTGTCATCTTCACAGCCTGTAGGCATGGCTCAGGAACGCAGGCCTGAATCACTCCCATTACCATCACATATTTTCCTAGAAGAAAAAAAGGCCGTGGTAATGTTCATATTCATAGAAAAAACAAAAACAAAACAGACTCAGTCCTTCAGAGGGCTTAACTTTATCAGAGAGGCAACTTAGAGACATTAAAGGGAAAAAAAGCATAGAATAGAGATCAAACTGTCAAGGCAGTCAGTGATCAATATGTATATGTATTGACAGTAAGTTCAATTTTTAACTTGGAACATGACATGTGTATCTTCTTTGTGTCTAATTTTCAAATGCTAAAAAAAAATTGCAGCAAGCCACCATCATGTGCAAAACAGTCATGCTAAAGAATGGAACAGACTCTCATCAGAGTATAAGTTACAATTAGACAGACTGCTCCCAGGAAGGGGCAGAAAACCCAAGCTTGTCTCTTGTCCTTATTCCTTGCTCAATGCCACACAGTATGTGACTGGTCTTTGTGCATGGGACCAGTCCTCTTTCTGCAAAGACACCCCCCTGACAGCCCCAAAGCAAATCCAATTTTCCCTCAATGTTGTCAAAAGAGCTGGGCACGCTACAGCAGCCCCTTTGCTCCCCTGCTACCTCCTGCTTTGTCCAGATCATCAGCTGGGTACACACAAGGAAATCAACAAGAGGGCAGGCTGCCATCAAGATGATCTAATGACAAATTAACTGCGATTCTCTTCCCATTCCCATGGGGAAGTGGCTCTCCTTGAAAGCAAAACTTGGCAGGTCTTAACCACACAAAACTCAATCGTGTAAAAAAACCCCAAACACAGCAGGAAGGGCAGGCAGGCCAGCTCCCACTGCATGTCCCTTCGAGGCCACTTTAATCACAATGCTTCCAACAGCAGGGCTGAGTTTGCACATGGGCCCAGGGCTCTGACTGAAGGAAGCCAGGCAAGCTGACACATGACCCTCTGGTTTTGAACTCCTGGAAGGATGTACTTAGGTTTATTTGAACTCATCTCCAGATTCTACTGAGCAAGTAACCTGGGGTTCCTCAGTGACAGAGGCTAGTTCTAAAAATACACTTGCTGTAACCTCTGAATGTCTCTAAAGTGCTAGTGGAGATCAAACCCTCAAAAAGAGAATGACTAAAGACCCAGGAAAGAAAGAACAAGCCCAAGAGGATACCAACCAGAAGAGGTTCACAGGAGACCCACTAATGAAGGCAACCACAGAGGGATAAGCTCGAAGGCATGTGAGCTTTCCTCCCCAAGACTGGACAAACTGGCTGCTAGGCCTGTTCATTCTACCCACACATTGTCCCTCCCATTTCTCCACCGTCTCCCTTTCCCCTTCCCTCCCTCTGGTCAGGCTTTTATCTTCTGGCCACTTCAATGACTTCCAGCCAGTCTGCTTCCAGCTGCTTCCTCTTCACAAACAATGCTATCACACTACTGCAGCAACCTTTCTTAAATGCAGCTCTGGCCTTCAGAACCCTCTGATCACAATGCAGTCTAGGTCACTGTTTGTTTCTCCCCTCTTGCCCCAGAGACTGGGAGCAACTTGAGAGCAGGGAGAGTTCTGACTCAATTCTGCACATGCAGCACCTGACATTTACGGAAACACACTGCTGGCTGTACCAGAGAAGAAAGCAGCGGGGGTATAGCCCTGATATGATGAACACAGCTAACAGCTACCTTGAAACAGGAAGGTCCTTCCACAAACAGCTCATCAGGGTGGGAGTCCTCCCACCTTTCAATGCTGCTCCACATTTTGTCTGACTCCCCAAAAGCACAGGGCTCTCACCTCCAAGCCTTTGCACACGCTGTTCCACAGACCTGGACGATCTCCTGCCTTAGACGGACGTAGGGTAGCCAACTCTTCTGGCTTTAAAACGGAAAGTCCCACCCTGGCCAGTGTGGCTCAGTTGGTTGGAGCATCTTCCTGTAGACCAAAAGGTCGCAGGTTCAATTCCTGGTCAAGGCACATACCCAGGGTGTGGTTTTGACCCCTGGTAGGGGTGCATAACTGGGTTGGGGTATGTATGAGAAGGCAACCAATTGATGTTTCTCTCTCTCTCTCCCTTCCTCTTTCTCTAAAAGTAATGAAAAAAAAATGTGCTCAGGTGAGGATAAATATATAAACTGTAAGTCCCACCACCCAGGATCCCCCTCAATCCTAGGAAACCTGGGAAGGTTGATCCCTACAGTTAATTCCAACACATCCTTCATGGTCACCTCCTTTAGTAAGGCTTCCCTGATCATACAAGTCAGTTGTCCCTCCTCTGCTCCTTTGGCAACCTGTGCTCAAGCCTAGATATTATTCTATTTTAGTGGCCTATTTACTTTCCTGGCTCCCTGCCTGAAGGCAGTTCACTAGGGTTTGTCAATTAAGACTTAGTATAGATTACAAGAGGAAATGGCATGGCCCCTGCCTGCAGGCATTCAGGCAGTAGGTAAGTCAGACAACCACTGGTGCCAACCTCAAGCCAGGGCTGGGACAAGACATAGGAGACACCGAGCAGCTCGGGTTACATGCTAGGGCAAAGGTCAGTAAATTTTTCTTTAAAGGGCCAGATAGTAAAAAAATATTTCTGGCTTTGCAGGCCATAGAGTGTCTTTTGCAGCTCAACTCTGTACTTGTACTGTGAAAACAGCCCTAGGTATTACAAAAATGAATATGTAGTGATAAAACATTACAGACACTGATACTTGAATTTCATATACTTTTCACGTGTCATGAAAAAATCTTCTTTTCATTTTTTTCAACCACCTGAAACTGTGAAACTATTTTTAGTTTGGCAGCCATGAGAAAAGATGGGGCAGCCTGTAGTTCACCGGCCCTGTGTCAGGCTAACACTGCTACAGACGGCACAGAGGGAGGGAGGCTGAAGAATGGGGCAGGGGCTAGGGCAAGAAGGGAACAGGAGTACTTCAGAGTAAGGCACAATGGTCACAATTGTGTGAACCCTCACTATGGGCCAGGAGCTGTGTGAAGGCATTTTATGTACTGAATCCACACAACAGGCAGAAATTATGAGCCCCTTTAGACAGAGGCAGGACAGGTCCAGAAAAGTTAATATAAGTGCTCCAGGCAGTTCAGCTGGAAAGAAGCAGAGCTAGGAATTCAACCTAATGCTGAAGATACAGTTGTCAGAAAAGCAGTCGTGATCTCTCCCTTAGCTTTCTGGCCCAGTGGTTCTCCAGGTGTGACACCCAGGCTAGCAACACCACAACAGCTCAGCTCCAGGCTGGGTAAGAAATGCAAATCTCATCCCCACCCAAACCTACAGACACTAAGCTTGAGGGTGGAGCCCAGCCAGTTTTCACCAGCCCTGGGGGTGAGTCTGATGCACTCTCTAGTTTGAGCATCACTGGTTTAAAAGATGCAAACTTTAGTGACCTCCAGACTAAGGCAGTTCCATAAAAGACAGGTGCGGGTGGGGCTATCCATTCCTGGGAGTCCTGAAGGACTTCTGAGACTTAAAAGATTAACAGACGTTTCCTAGTAAAGTATTTTCCAAAACTTGATGAGGAGAAAAATCACCTACCAGAAGGGGGCTTGTTACAGATACAACTGCTGGGGGAGGGGGGGGGGGTTGGTGGCGGGAATCCCCTCCCTGGAGATTACGACCAGGAGCGGTAAGGTTTCCTAGAAACCGACACTTTTAAAAACCCGGCTGCAAGTGATACTTATCATCAGATCAGCTTGGATGACGCTAGATTGAGGTTAGGACAGGAAGGAAGGGTCCTGAGGAGGGAAACCGGCACCAGCAAAAGCCCGGAGGGACGACCAGGCCCTGCCCTCTGGCTGAACAAAACAAAGGTCAGTCCCCAGTTAGAGTGCGGCCATTACCTGGGGCGAGGCAGGGCCGGCCGCGCGGCACCCGCTCCAGGCCGCAAACCGAGAAGGCCCCGCTTGGGTCACGCAGCCGCGCCTCGCCGCCGCCCGCAGCTACCACCGTGCCCTGCATCCATACAACCGTCAGCTCCAGCGGCCCGCGGCCGGCCGCCGCCCGTGACAGCCGCCACACGCCCGGGCTGCCTTCCGTGTTGCGCCGCAGCTGCTCTGCCAACACCTTGACCGGCGGTGACGACGGCAGCCTCACCGCCGCCTGGACGCCGCTGGAAAAAGAGTTGGACACGGCTGCCGCCATTACGCTAGGCGGCTGGTTTCCCGCCAACTTTGAGAGGCAGCGAGGCCCCGCCCACGGGCACCAATCAGGGGCGAGCTGGTGGAGCCGGCCAATGGTCGGCCAGAAGGCGGGACCTCCCGGCTGAGCGGTCCCAATGACTAGCCGCCAGGAGTGCGCATGCGCACGAAAAGTAATTAAACACTCCCAAACTAGGAATGAAGGGATGAAATGAATTAAAAGAGAATAAATAAATGGAGGGAGGTAAAGAATTCCCTGTTTAAGGCACTTCAAAATTTGTTGTGCATGCAAATCACCTGAAGAACGTGAGTATTCATCTTTACATCACTTTACGTTGGAGGATACTCTGAGGTTAATAAATGTTAGTAGCATGATGAGCCCATGTTTACTGGGAACGATCAAGAATTAAGTCAAGAGAAGGATGGGAAGGTCGGGACAGCTAGTAAAGATGACCTTCTTTAATAACATTATCAAATAATTTAAAAGTTAATACATATATTACTATATTTTTTCACAAAAGAAACGTACATTTATTGTAGAAAATTTAGAAAAGGAAACACTAAGAAAAATTTTAAAAACCACTCAGATGTATCCACTTAATATGTGGGTGTATTCGCATTCAAGTTTTTAAAATATATATGGATATATAATTATGATACACAAATATTGTTTTGTATATTGTTTTCACTTAATAATAAACACCTTTTCATGCTTCCTCTTGAATGACTGCATAATATTGTACTTGTCTCATCACCCATTTAACCAATATGCTCGAGTTGGACTTTAAGGCTATTTCCAGTTTTTCACTTTATAACATTGTTACTTTGTACCTACTTACAGCTAAATTTTGGTGCACATGTTTCAGATAAATTCCTAGAAATGGAACTGCTCCCTAAAAGTTTCATGTCCCCCATCAGCAAAATCCACAAATCTTAAACCAATCCTTAAAGTCACAAGACTTTAAAGTCAAAACTTAAAGTCACCAGTTCTTAGACTGTATACTCAGGACTTCCTGCAATACTGGGCATACCGAGGGTATTCAGCATCAACTTGGTTTTTATGAAGCATCTAAGACATATTGAGCCAGACCCTGTCCTAAGAGCTTTATAGGCAGTATCTCATGGATCCCCACACCCTGTAAAGACTGTTCTACACAGAAGAGGAAACAGGCTAGGGGAAGCTGGGTGATTTGCCCATGGCCTCTCTGACAATAACCTTTGAGGGGTCATGGCCCGTATACCTCAACCCAGAGCTACAGAGTAGCCAGGCTTCTGGTTTGAGAAGGGAGCAGGGACATTACCAAGAGAGAAACCCACCCCTTCATGCCTGGTGTGTCCCCACTGGCCTTCCCCAAGGCACCTGAAGGCCAGAGAAGTGACAGGGAAGGAAGCTGGTATAAAGACAGAGGCTCCCAGGCCTCTTGTCTAAGTCTGGGAATATCCCACGATTCTCTTGACTTTCAAGTTCACACACATATACAAAGACCCCATGCCCCATGCCTTGTTGCTGGTTTATTAAATCCTGATGGTGTCATCCATATGCCTGCAATGTGAGCATTCCAGGCAGAGGGAACTGCACATGGAGGGACCAGAAAGGAGAGAGAGAGAGAATGGAAATATTGGGCAAACTGCCCGTATTTCAGAACAGCTGGGATGCAGAATACCAGTGGAGAAGTATGGATAGACAAGGTTGTATCCATATAACCTTGTTACTTATGCCAATTTTTCAGGTGACAAAACTGAGGCTAAGGCCAATGACAAGCTGCAGGCCACATGACTAGCGAGGTGTACAGCCAGGACTAAAAGCCAGATCTATCTGAACCCAAACTTCATGCTCCTTGAACCACACATGCCATCTTACTACCCACATTCACCCACCTCCTGCATCAAAGATTCCTCTGTACATTTGCTCATGCTTAGATGCCAACAGTGGCCAGGCAGGTAACCCTGATGTAGCAGTGACAAACTGGCATTCATGTGCCACAATAAAGAGGCCAATTACACTCAGCCAATGGGCCCTGTATTGCCAGATTTGACATATCAAGACATTTTCATGTGTAATCTCCACATTTTAAAAAATTGTTGGTGCCCTGGCCAGTGTGGCTCAGTTGGCTGGAGCATCATCCAGTGAAGGTTGTGGGTTCGAACCCCAGTCGGGGCACATGGGAGGGAACCAATTGATGTTAGTCTTACATCTCTCTCTCCCCTTCCCACCCCCCTTCTCGCTAAAAAGCCATGAAAAGTCCTCAGGTGAGGATAAAATAATTAATGAATTAATTAAAAATTATAAGGTTGTTGGCAGCCTATACCAGTCTAAGAAAGGTTGTGTGCCCCTGAAAGGCATTTGTGGGTGACTCTGGCCTGTGGGCAGGCAGTCTGCAAATTCAGTCTCTGTAATGTGAGCTCTTCTACGGCCCGGGCAGCTGTGTGTTAACTAACACACAGCTCCTTGGAACCTTCTGAAAAATATCCAAGGGCTGCTGTGTTTCAACAGCTCCCAGAGTTGCACAACTGGAGTCTTAAATTATTGTTGTGAACAGACAACTGGGGTCTGTTGACACATGCTGCGGAGACTCACCTCCGCAGAAGATTATCTCCCTCCCTACCCACCACCCTCACTCTGGACCTGAAATAACCCCCTGGGCCCCAGCTTCCAAGTGAGATTAAAACTGCCTGGAAAGGGATTTTCTGGTCCCTGAGGAAAAAAGGTAAGGCAAGGGGACTTCTGGGCCTTGGCCTCACACTTAACCTACCCATTTACCAGTTTCTAGGCAGGTCAAAAATGCTTCTGGTTACCTGGAACAAAGACCAAACCCTACCACCCTAAGAAAAGGAGCTTGTTCTAGAAGGATATACATGTAATGGCATCTTCAAACTAGCAGTAGGTTAGCTGAGCATTTAGTATGTGCTGAGTACCATGCCAGGTGTTTCAAGTGCAGTCTAAAGACAACCCAAAGAAGAAAGTGCTTTCCTTAAGCCCATTTTATAGGTGAAGAAATTGAAGCTCAGAGAGGTGATGTGACCTGCCCAAGACCACACAGGTGGTAAGGGGTGGAGCCTGGGATTCTGATCCCCACCAGGAACAAAGGGTCTCTCTCATATCTTGCAATAATAAGGCCTCAGGGGGAAGGGGACTCTTACTCTGTATTCTGGGTCATCACCAGGGAAAAATTCCCTGGGGACTTAAAAAACAAAAAATACAGGTTCTGGCCAAAAAAACCCCCCACAAAAAACAAAAAGCCCAGAAAACTGGAAATTTAATGAGATGCATGCCAAAGTATGCAGGACATTTGGGAGTATATAAATGCAACTTTCTCTGAAGTGCAACAAAAAGTAAGGTGGATGGGGATGGGTGGATAGAGGTGGACAGAGATGCTATAAGGTGAGTAAACTATTCATTGTAGAATTTAAATGGTGCACTCATGGGTGTTCATCATACAGCTCTTTCAATAATACAATGTCAGGGTGAGTCAGATGCTAAAGTGATTCTGAGGTCCAGCCTACTTACTTATGAGTCACTAATGCCCTCCCCCACCCGGTGACAAACAAGCTTCCTATTCCCTCATTCACACAACATCACCAGGAGGTCACTGGACAGACTGAAACTTCTTGGCCTCGGGTACCCCTTTTTCTTGACTCCAAACCAGAGCATGGGGCCTTCCTTTCCACAGGCCCCAGCCATGGAAACCACAGGCCCAGGCCAGAGTGGGGAGAGGTAGAATTACACACCTCAATGACCAACACTGCTGGGTCCCCGGCACCAATGGTGATGCCTGCTTTTCCATGCACACTTGAGGTAACCAGCTCTACTACTAGCTTACTGGAGGAACCTCTAAGCAAAATTCACTTTTTGGCAGTAAGAACTATCCTTCCAGGCTAATACTAACAGCAGCAACTGCTTCTGCCACTACTGCTACAGGCCATGCATGGTGCCAGCTGCTATCGCTACACCTGCTCGTTTCATCCACAAACGCCTGCCAGGGACCTTTACAGAGGAGGAAACAGAGGCTCAAACACACTAAGCATAAAGCAACCAAACCTACGTGATAATGCAGGATTCTGATACAGGAAGGCTGTGGTGCCGGTCTGCAACTTATAATTACCACCAAGATTGTATTACTGAAAGAGTTGTGCACATCCCACCATTTAGATTCCACAATGAACAGTTAATGCACCATATCGCACCCCTGTCCACCTGTCCTCTCTACCCATGCACCTGTGCACCTTATGTTTTGATGCATTTCAGAGAAATAAACTCATAGTATCTCTGGCCAGTTGCTTTTTTATACGGGTTGACAAGATCATTCAATGGGGAAAGAATAGTTTATTCAACAAATGGTGCTGGAACATCATGCAAAAGAAGGAAGTTGGATCTCTACCTCATGCCACATACAAAATGGATCAAAGACCTACATGTAAAAACTAAAACTATAAAACTCTTAGAAGAAAACATGAAGATAGATCTTCACAACTTTTGAGACCAAAAGCACAAGTAGCAAAAGGAAAAATAAACTTGACTTCATCAAAATTAAAAATATTTGTACATCAAAGGACATTGTAAAGAAAGTGAAAAGACAATCTACAGAATGAGGGAAATATTTGCATATCATATATCTGATGAAAGTCCAATATCCAGAATATATAAAGAATACTTGCAACTCAACAACAGAAAGACGAACAACCCAATTCAGATACATGCAAAGGACCTGATTAGAATTGTTCCCCAAAAGGATATACAAATAGCCACCAAGCACATGAAAAGATGCTCAACATCATTTATTCATCATTAGAGAAATGCAAAAAGGCACTAAGCTGGAATTTGAGCCTGGATCAGTCTGACTCCAGAGGCCTGAGCTTCCTGAGTCTGCTCCCTCACTCCTCCAACCCTAGTCCACATCCTCTAAGGGCTGGTCCAGGGGATTGAAGCAGCATCAGATCTGGGGGTGGCACGGCAGTGGTGGGGCTGGGAGATGAGTCAGTGTCAGTGAAATCTGAAAACCCAATGGCTCACATCCCTCTAAC